TTAGTCTGGGGATTGATTATTTGTTATTACCCCACTAAAGCAACACGTAGACCGCTTAGCCTTGGGGAAGCAAAAGGAAACAAAGACTCTCTGCAAACACGCTGCGAAACTGGGAGCCTGATCATAATATAAGTCGACAGTCGGGAGACAATATATCCCCGGCATGAATTATTCATCACGGAAATGTAATCTCTCCTCCCATGGGCTTTATTAAAATGTTACCTTCTGCCGAAATAATGTTCATTACACTGGGCTCGTCTCGTGCCAGGATGTCTGATTTTCAACGGGCCTAGTTCCCCACCACCCCCTTTTTTATTATTATTTTGTAAAATAAGGCTCTATTGAGGCGGAGGCTTTTCTGCTCCTTGCATTGGATACCGATCTGCCTGAAAAACTACAGACTCTCTCCCAGTTCTTCCCACAGGCGATTCTTCCCATAGGCTGAAGTTTCTTTAACCTGACCAGCTGGCTCTGGGTTTGGATCCTCTCTGAGTCCTCCCGGATTTTGTCCCCGCACCTCTCCCCGGTGGCAAGGGGAGAGCGCGGCTGCGGCGCGGGTTTGCGCCCAGGCAGGGCGGCACGTCCCCAGCCGGGGAGCGCCCGCATTGTCTCCGCGCCCCGCGGGCTCGGGCGGTACAAGCAAGCAAGCAAGCAAGCGGCCCGGCTTACCCCACCCGCTTGGCCATCAGAGAGTGCAGGTACTTCCTCGCGGATAACTGGCCCAGGACTTTCCTGTAGGCTTTGTTAAAGATGCCATCGGCGTGCCTAGGTGGGAAACAAAGATCACACGTTAACGAGGAGGCTTGGTGGCTGGGGGGGAGGGGCAGGGGCTTGCCCTGCACAGGGAGGTCCCCGGCCGACTGGTGGGTCTCCGGGCCCGGAGGGCACCGCCCCGCTCCGCCTGCCGCTGCCCTCCCCTCGGGGACGTCCCGAGAGCAAAGCTGATCCCAGTCTCCCCCCGCAGCAGGGCATGGCCGGGGACGTGGGCGCGGCTGCTGCTTCCAGATCTGCTCTGGGAGCCGGGGGGGGTAGGGCTTTCCTCCAGTCACCTCTTTTCCGGCGGGTAGTACAAGGTGTACATGTCGTCTAGCATGGACGGGGGGTTGGCTAAACCCAGGGGGTCTCGATCGTAGGAGAAAAGCTGATCCCAGTCTCCCCCCGCAGCAGGGCATGGCCGGGGACGTGGGCGCGGCTGCTGCTTCCAGATCTGCTCTGGGAGCCGGGGGGGGTAGGGCTTTCCTCCAGTCACCTCTTTTCCGGCGGGTAGTACAAGGTGTACATGTCGTCTAGCATGGACGGGGGGTTGGCTAAACCCAGGGGGTCTCGATCGTAGGAGAAGTCCTGCAGCATGTTGCCATCCTCGTCGTACACTTCATCTTCCAGCCTACAAAGGCAGGGCGGAGGGAAGGCAGTCAGAGCCGAGCCGCTGCTCAACTCCGCAAGGGGGGTGCTCAGCGGATCAGCGCGGGCCGAGGCTCCCCCCTCCTATGCTTTATCCTTGAGGAGCGCTTGGGAGGCGGTGGCGGAGGAGCCCACAGACACACCTCCCCTCTCCCACCCGTCTCACCCCTCCGGGTCAGGACACCCGCAAGCAAACCGACCTGCCCCGGGGCTGGCAGATCAGACCCCTGGTGG